ATTCTGGTTTTAGGGCGCACGGCATCACACGACAATCCAGCCAGGGCGCACCATTTCAGGGCACAGCAGCAGCAATCCAAGGCAAACAAGCATGGCGCAGCAATCCAGCATACTGCGAAAGCATCCTTCTTCGCGATGGTGGGATGAGGTAAGTGTTCTTGAGAGCAGGGGGCATGGCCACAAATTATGGTCATGCAAATACTGCCCAATGGTGAACAAACTGAGTGGTGTTGATCGTGTGCGAGCTCATCTGTTAGGAGAAGGCCCAGGCAACAAGGATATTGTGAGTTGTCCTCTCATCCCAGGTAACAAGAAAGCGGATCTGCTCAATATGCAAAAGGTTATTGATTCCGAGAAAGGGGCAAGGGGGAAGAAACGGCCGAATGAATCTGGTGGTGCTTCTATGAGAATGGATGGCAATGTCCAAGGATTTCCACCGGTGGTATCATCCCAATCAAGTGGAAGTGGCTGCAGTTCCCTGTTTTTTAGCAAACAGAGTCAAGTCCATATTGTTGATTCGATGGATCCTGAGCGGAAGAACCGAGTTGATGTGGCTATCGGAAGATTTTTCTGGAATGAACACATTCCATTTGTCAAGGCTCGGTCACCTTACTTCCTCAACATGATACAGGAAGTTGCCAGGCATGGTGTGCCTTATGCACCACCAAAATATGATGATCTCTGGGATAAGCTTTTGGTGAAAGAGAAACGATTCATTGACATTGAGATGGCGTCCTTGAGGAAGCAATGGGAGCAGAGGGGTGCAACCATATGCGCAGACGGGTGGGCAGATAGGAGGAATCGGCATATCATGGGGCTTGTGGCATATAGTCAAGGATGAGGAGCTTTTTTGAAGGCTATCGACATTTCCTTAACAAGAAAAACAGCTGAAAATACTCTGCGCTGCTGGGAAGAAGGCATTAACATTGTAGGTGCAGAGAACGTTGTCATGGTTGTGACCGATGGGGAAAATGCAAACAGAGCAGCAGCAGCACTTTTGCAACAGAGGTACCCGAAAATTCAATGGGCAGCATGTTTTGCCCATTGCTTGAACAATGCCTTGAAAGACTTCGGTGTACTTCCATGGATGGCAACACTTCTGGAGCGTGGAAAGTCTTTGGTGATCTTCGTTAGAAACCACTCTCATATAGTGGCACTACTGGCGGAGTTTACTCACAAGCGATTGCTGCGTTATTGTGATACCAGGTTCGGCTACAACTTCATTATGATGGAGAGGCTGGTGGAGCTCCGAGAAGCTTTACAACAGATGTTCGTATGCCCTGCATACAGAGCAAGGCCTGAGTCGAAGTCGAGAGCAGGAAGGGACAGTTATGCAACGGTTTTTGATGGCAGTTTCTGGCAACAGGTTAAGGACATGCTAGAGGTGTCCAAGGATGTTATGCTGCTTCTTCGTGTTGTGGACGGTGATATACCTGCGATTGGAAAGATATATGAGTGCATGAATAGGTTGGATGCAAGTTTAGAGGAAGGACAGTCGGATTATGGCAGGTATAGGGAACTTCATCAGATCATGTCTAATAGGTGGCATGAGTATCACTCGCTCATGCACTCGGTGGCGTACATGTTGGACCCCGAGTTTCAGGAGTATGAAAAGCATGCTAACAGAGAGGTCATGAAGGATTGGAATGCTTATCTGCTGGCCATGTTTACATCCAGTGAGAGGGATGTGATACGTGATGAGCTTTTAACTTACCGGAGGATAGGAGGCATTTTCAACTCATATGATGCTAAGGTTGATCGCACTAAGAGGGGAGCTGTACGTTGGTGGGAGGACTATGGTTATGAAACTCCAGCTCTTCAGAAGTTGGCCATTCGAGTTCTAAGTCAGGCATGCTCATCGTCCTCGGTGGAGAGATTGTTCAGTACTTTAGAGCATGTTTCTTCAAAAAAAAGGAACAGACTTACCATGGACAGGACAGCGGATCTGGTTTTTGTGGCTTGCAACACCAGGTTGTTAACCTGCAAAAATGATCGTGATTACGACAAGTTTGTAAGCTACAAAGTCCTGGAGACAGTTCCTCATCCTGAAGACGAGCTTGAGTCAGGACAGGAAGAGGAAGATGGAAATGATGTCGAAGATCATGAGGTTGAAGATGACGATGAGATGCAGGATATTTGAGTAGTTTAAAAGTGTGAAGTAGTTTATGTGCAAATAAAAATATTAAGAATAATATAATAAAATATAGCATATTCCTATAATAATATAATAAGAAATAGAATATAATTTTTTAATAACATATTCTTAGAATATTCAGTAGAATATTCGTGAGCCGTCGTGGGCCGTGATCGTGTTCCGTGTTCGGGTTCCTGAAATCTGAGGCTCGTGTTCGTGTTCCGTGTTCGTGTTCGTAACTATGGTTGAATCAAGGAACAATTTTGATACTAAGTTGTAAGCAATTAAATTTTTCATTCTACTTTAGTCACTTTACCACACCTTTGATGATTTGGAGGAGTCTCACTCACAACCTTTATAAGTCTTATTCCTGACTTGAGGATATGCTAGCCCCGTGAATAGCATCTATGCCATTCAGCCTTTACATTTGGTCCAAATTCTCCATGTGTCCGATCCCATGACAAACACCCCAAAGGTACTAATAACCTATCAGCCTGTCACACTAAGGCCATGTCCATTCACCTCTATCACATTAGTAGTCCAAGACTATTTATATCACAACCCCGTCTCCTAAAGACTAGGCCATCTATTTAGAAGTGGTTATCCCAGAATTACACCTTAACATCCTTAGGATGTCTAAGGACATGGGGAACACCCTTTCCCAATGTCCCTTCCTCAATCCCCACCAAGTCCCTCTACATCTATAGCCATGCTCTCCAACATTGTCACTAGGTCAAGGCCTAATAGCCCAACCATTAAGTCCTATTGACCTTTAAGACTTTCTTACCTTGTGACCATGTTCTTGGTCACTACACAAGAGGATTGCTCCTTTTCCTTTCTATAGTCTGGGACTTTGGGATGACATTTCGAAATACCATAGCCCTACATGAGCCTCGTGGGTATTCTCCCCACCTTCCACCTTTGGGTGCCCTAGCCATGGGGCTAGAGAGTTCTGATGAGCCACACCAAGTATCCAACTAGGTAGTGCCACCCACACTTGGATTGGGAGCATCGACCATTGGATCTCCCAAGGAAGCTAGAGCCAGCTCTTAAACACCTTACCAAGGTACCCCATTTGTTTGTCCATATTCACTCTAGTTTTGGACTCCCCAGTGGTTATATCATCACCTAACACGTGGGTATAACCTTTTTGGGCCATATTAGCCTTTCCTGGCCAAATTGGTTCCATTGGAGTCCAACCCTCACACTCTCCTTACTATACTTTTGGAACCCCCTGCAGCTGCCCTACCCCCCAGGGGACGATTGCTTTGAGCTTTCACCCCACAATCTGTATTAATATTCGGACTCAATATCAGATTTGGACTCGGTGTCAGACTTGGACTCGGTCTAGGTGTAGGTCTTAGTCTCAGTTTTAGTCTTTATCTTGGACTCCATCTAGGGTTCCATCTCGGGTCCATCTCATACTCCATCTCGGGTCCATCTTGGCCTCCACCTCGGACTCCATCTCGAGTCCATCTCGGACTCCATATTGAACTCCATCTCAGGTCCATCTCGGACTCCACCGCAGACCCCATCTTGGGTCCAACTCGGACTACATCTTAGACTCTATCTTGGACTCCATCTCGGACTGCTTCGTGCTCATTCCTTAATAACTTTATTTGGAGTTTCACTCCCACTGCAAAAGCTCTGACTTAGATAGTTGAGAGTGGGAGTGAAAAAGTGCCCTATAGTAGTGGTTGAA